GCAACGTCGTCTGCGTCTGTCTTACCTTTCCTGCGACTTTCAAAACTCGAGCGAGCTCGACTTCGCCTTTCAGAGGGGCAGACGAAAAAACTCGAGCGGTACGTTGTTTTTGTCTAGCATTTAGCCGACGCGCATTGGGAGGGAAGTCAAACGACTCAAGGTGTCCCGAGGCGCCGAGGTTTGTTTGCTAAGAACCGAGAGTGAGGGTGGTTAGTGTCCGCAAGTTCCCTCTCAAATACGTTTTCCCTCCTTTCGTGTGCGGCGAGACTCCTCACTCTTTAACGGCGTCGGCGGGTTGGCGCAGTTAACGTCGTCTGCTTTACGTCTGCTAGTCAAAGCGATGGCTGCTTTACCTTTCCTGCGTCTGTCGGAGATTCACCGCTTTTTTACCGGTGAGAGTCACCGTTGCCTCGGAAAACAAGGAGATGACAAGAGGAAGAGATTGACCTCTTAATCTAATATTGAGGTCAGAGATCAAAGTATAAGACGGGAAGGGTTCGCAAGGGTCACGCGGGCATATTCCATTCAGCACGCCAGCCGGTCGTGGGCAGACGGTCGCCGAGTCGGAGTGCCTGCTAGGCCTATCTGCCGTGCTCGCCTGGTCGTTGTCGGTGGAATCGTGGCCTTTCGAGCTTTTCCCGGGTGTTTTTGGATCAGCGTTCTTGTTCGTCGTGGTCTGTTTCAAGGGGATTTTACTTTTTTCTTGCTGCTTGAAGTCGGGACGCGTGAGAAGCGCACGTAGAAAAATAAACGTCCGTTGGTCGTCGCGACCGCGACGCTGTCGGCCATGCTGATTTGATTAAGACAGCTTCGGAGCTGTCGTAGGATTTCGTCGTAACCTGCGCAAAACTTATGACAATTTCGTTTCGTGAATACGAATTTGTTCTCAAGTTTTGTCTTACGCATATTTTTGGCGTAAGATCGTTTTGTGAACCTGGCCTCTGCACTTCCGAAAGTCGCAGGAAAGGTAAGACAGACGCAGACGACGTTGCAAAGGAGCAGACGACGTTGCAAAGGAGCAAACGACGCTCAGAGAGGGGGTCGCGATCAGCCAATCAGGGCTCGGCGTTCTGACGTCACCGCTACCCCCTGCGTAAGGAGCAGACGAACTTGCCCTCCGCGTAGTTTTGTTTTTCTAAGAATATCTGCACTAAAAGCCACTTTTGCTCCTCTGAAACGTTGTCTTGGCTTCTCTAAAAGCCACTTTTGCTGCTCCAAAACACTATATTCGTTTCTCCAAAGGCCACATTTGCTGCTCCAAAACACTGTTTTGGCTGCTCCGAAAGGTGCTCCAAAATGGCTTAGGCCGGTCACATCACTGCAGGATATATAGGTCTTCAAAAGTTTTTGAGACATGACCCCTTTTTCCTGCTCGATTTGAAATGAAATCTCCAAAGACCCTTTTTGAGAAGGAAAACGACTTCAATAACTATAATACTCACGATTATATTACCTTTAACCGTACGAACTTTGCCAAACCACTGGAGGACCATCGCGAGCGCAGACTCTACCCCTTGCTGTATAAGAGAACGTTGCAGCTTTGTAGGATTACCATTATCAATAGTTTCTCATAACCGGAGCTTCCGTAACTATGCGCGAGGATGCCACTGCTGATGTCTGCCAACGTCAAGGAGGCGGAGGGCCATAAGAGCTTGAGCATAATGGGCCTTTTCCGCAAATGTTGAGCGCCATCTATCGGCAAGCAGGAGACACGTTTTTGATGGCCTGCCTTACTTCCGGTTCTGCCCGCTCCAAGCTGTGTTGGCTGGGTTGGCTGTCTGAACGCGGTCGGTTAATCGCTCAGCGTTTGTCGACCAGATTTGTTTTCAATTAATGCGTTAACTGCGGATAACTTTGTCCGTTTGTACATTTTTTTCCGAATGTTCGGACGACGACAAAGTCCGTCGTCCGAACAAGACGACGGACCTCGCGGTGGCGCCCGTTGTGACTGAAGGCACAGTTGAAGCTCTTTTCGACCAACGAGATAGTACAAATGGTTACATTAAACTAGGATTTATGTTGTATGCAATACCGGCAGTAAATTAAAAAAAAAAAAAATTCGAAACCAAGTTACAGTTAAAAAACGCTTCTTTTTTTTTTTTTTTTTTAATGGCAAGTTATTTGTATCAGCTGCTCGAAATTTTTAAATGACATGATGTGTTCTCATAATTGTAATGACTTGCTTTAAAATCGTTCGAAAAACTCTGTGCCTGCACGTAGAAATGTAAATTTCAACAAAGGTGTACTTTAGTGGTGAAATTTCAATGCGTAGCTCCATTCCTATAAAAAGGGAGACCAACAAACTTGGCCGGGTCCACGGCGGACGGTTCAGCGTCCGCCGCTGCCCCTGACGAGTTGGTTGTTCCCGTTTTTTACTGGAAAGAAGCAACAATTCGAAATTTCGCAAGGTCAAATTTACCGCTAAAGTACATCTTTAATAAATATCCAAGATTAATACGTGCAGCCGCCGATTTCTGAGCGAGCCTCGTCATTGATGTCACCCCATTTCAGGCTGTAGTTGTGTGGAACTGTGAGAAAAAAAAACACGAAATCAGGCACACCTGTAATTTTTTTTTTTTTTTTTAGTGTCGCGGCTGTACAGAATGTTGATTTTTTTTTTACTCGATACATACTTGAGGACAACATATCAAGACGATTGTTTCCTCTTCCTTATTTAACCACAAGACCAGCAGATGCCGTCGTCGTAGTGAGAGCTAGAGCAGCTCCCATTTCACGTTCAGGATGTGCACGTATATATAGCAACAAACTGTGCAGCATAGCCACTTTACCGCTATGGTTTATAAATATTTGGAAACTGTGGGCGATTCTAATGTGTACAACAACCAAAAACCGGCAGTTTGCGTAGCAAACGCGAGACCGTTATTTTATTACTATTAGGAAGCAACAACATGTGCCATTGAAACGCACCATCCCAGAAACGCCAACTCCGAGACGCTCGCTCCGCGTGGCACATAAGCGACACGACAGCATACCTAACCAATCTGCTAACTTGTATTTACGCCCCCCCCCCCCCCCCCCCCCGATAAAAAAAAAAGGAACAAAAACATGAACCATTCTTGAAGTGGCAACTGCAAACGCGGGAGTGCTTTGAAAGCTGCCTTTACGAGTCGTCCGCATTGTACCGCTGGACCGCCCGAACCCAGAGCTGTCGCTTCGTCGGGTGCAGGCTAGTAGAAGGAAACCCAAAGAAGCTTAAACCGCGACAACATTAACTGTCGTTGCTGCAGCCAACAACGAAACAGTGTTGGGGCATGTCGGAGAACTTGGGAACGAGCGATCACCACTGCCTCCAGCAGTCCCGAGGTGGACGCACCACGCCACCAAAAATGGCGGACTCCTGTCTGCTGCTGCTGCTGCGTATGCGCCGTGGAAACCCCGGAAAAGGCCCATTAACGCCCTAACTCCAACGCCTTGTTGTTCGTATATAACTTCACCGATTCCCCCAAATGAGTTCCAAGCCTTCCGGGAGACCCGCATAGTGGATCGGGATCCCGTGAAACACTCTCGCACACGCACGCACGCACGCACAAACACACACAGACGCATAAAATATACAAAGAAAACGATGTAGAATTTACGCGCAAGACGCGAAGACGACCTGGAAGATCGTCGAGCGCCCTAACTGCGGTCACACCGTGTGGTGGTCATTGCTTTTTATTTACCCGTTCATGGCGGTCGGCCGTGGGCTATGTGCATCTGGGTGATTCCATTACTGATCCGGAACGACTGAGCTGCGAGAAGAATCTCGTACAGCGGGAACGAGCTGTTTGCGGAATGTCGCCATCGGCGTTGGACGCTAACGTGCGCCAGCGCGAGCGTGGCCGGCGCCGCGCGATGGGACAAAGAGGCGTATCTATATTTATTAGCAAAAAGAAAGAAATAGAGCTGGACGGGAATAGCGCGCAGGTGGCCGACCGTTGGTCACCTGGACGGCTTCCCTTTGTTGTGGCTCGCAAACAAACTACACCCCGTTTTTTTCTTACGGCGGACCGCAGGGGGCGCGACGAGCCATCCTGCAGTCGATATACAGCGATGTGAACGTACCCCGTGACGACGCGCCCCGCGCGTCGGTGCGCCATTGGATTGGCATTGGATTGGCAGTGGATTGGCCTCGATGACAGGTAGCGCCCTTGGCGGTTCATCGATAAGGTGAAACGGAGTAGCTCGGGTTAGCGGGTACTGCAGCTCCACGTTTCGCCGAAAGGACCGCTGGACCGCTTTTGTCCTCGTCGGCGCGTTGCGTGTGTACTGTTGTGTGCGTGATCGTTGTCTGACGCTTGGCCAAGATGGAGGACCCGGCAGCTGTCGCGTTTGGTAACGCCCTCGAGCGAGTCTTTGCGATTTCGACAGGGAAACGAATTCTTTAGAAATGAGAGCTGCAAAACGAAGGAAAGCGCGCGAGAACGGTTTCATGAATACGAAACCTTAGATAATGCTTTTTACGTGCAAATGCTTATGCAGACAATGTTTTTCTTTTATGTGGGGTGCACGTGTCCAGATTTTGCGCCTTTTTTTTTTTTTCGATGTTTTTTGCGACGGATGTGCGCGACCGGCTGGTGTGACAGCGGCAGGCACAATGGTAGTGCTTCTGTAGCACCGCCTACAAGGTTGTGATTTCCGTCGTCAAACGAGTGCGAAGAGGGACATAGCGCGGGGCTCTGTGGGGAAGCTAAACCCCGCAGTACCTTGATTTTCTTTAAGGTCGGTCACTATAGGGTGTCGGTGAGTGTTATTGCCTCGAATGATTGAGTCTTGACCGCATGTACCACTGTGAGGTAAACCATAGATCCACAAGGTACGATTATAGAGGAATTGCGTTCTCCAATGCCATAAAATAAAAAAAACGAAATAAAAAAAAAAGGTTAACGGGATTTGAACTTTGAAGGACACTACAGGTTCAAATATGACCCTGGTACTGCTCTAGACCTCCCATAGATTGATCTTGCTCTCTTTTTTTTTCCTCTCTCTCTCTTTCCTAGGAAAGTACGTGGGCAGCCGTCCCATCAAGCTTCGCAAGAGCACCTGGCGAGACCGTAACCTGGATGTGGTCCGGAAGAAGACCAAGGAGAAGGAGCGGCTGGGACTACTTTGAGTGCGGTGCCCTCCCATCGCCCGGGACCGTCATGCTGGCGCCGTCGACCGATCCCCGGTGCAGGTGGGTGGACTGCTCGAGGTACTGCTCGCTTGTCCTCGCTCTCCACCATAGGGAACTTTAGTCGATCGTTTTCGCGCAGCCGCAAACGAAGGTGGAGTATCGGGTAGCAATTATCGGAATACAAAAAGTTATCTACTAAAACCTCCTAATGCGTGCGCGTACCGGTTCTAGCGCGCGGAGATTTTCTATCTTCTGCGTGCCGCGTGAGTATCGATAACCTCTCCTGGAAATGAGATATGCTATGGACCTAGAAAAAAATTAATTAGAATTGTCGGTTTAAGACATGGTGCCATGGCGATCGGAGTCGTATTGAGAGTGTTTGCAAGGTGTCGTACGGAGACTGCGTTAGAACAAAAATCGCGGAAGGATATTGGTTTAGGTTAATGCTCTTAGGGTAACAACGAGGTGATTTCCTGACACGCTCCATACAGTTCAGGATGAACCGTGGAAAACATAGAAGACACGGTGGTTGTCGCGGAGGACGCCGAAGCAAACCCGAAGGGTTTAGTACATGAACTCTCAGCGCTCTTGCAATGTCCTGTTGGTGCGTGCATTGCTCATCGCAGCCGGGCACCCAGGTTGGCAACGTTGGAAGTTTGTACAGTTGTTACGATGTCGCCCTGACATCGTTAAAATTGGTTATAACTTATAAGCCCGAACCTGGACATCGGGCGACTCGTCTAATCTGCCCGAGCACAACCACGGGTACTGACGCGGTGTCCAACTTCATTTCGTCAGGTCGCATTAGGTCTTGACGTCGCAGCTAAACGCACTGACATACTTAAATGTCTAGACGCACAAGACGGGCCTGAGCAAGGCGTGCCTGTATTTCGCAGTCTGACTCAGTGTCGCATCGCGTACATTTTCAAAATAAAATCCTCTTTTCTTTTTTTTTTCCGTCGCAATTACAGTTTTTTTTTTTTGTGCTTTGCAGAAGCGCAGACGCAGGGACATATTTTAGCTTGTGGAGAGAAGAATAGCAGTCTTGTTTTATTTGTTTACGTTTAACAGCGGAAACGAAGTGCGTGACCGTCATCTGCTATGCATTCTGCCCGTATCACTCTTATGCGAACTAAGTAACAGAAAGGTTCAGCAAATGGTTATTACGGGTCTGATACCGCTCTGGTCGCACGTTTTGACACGTGCTTTGAAGCGGCAGCGGGAGCTCTCAATGCCGACATCATTTATAAGGCAACGGGCTCCAAACCCCGGCCGGTCTGGCCCCCGGATGGCCGCGACCTTTCCAGTGACGTCCAAATCACTGCTACCAACGCTAATCTATATATATGTATATATATATATATATATATATATATATATATATATATATATATATATATATATATATATATATATATATATATATATATATATATATATATATATATATATATATAAAATAGCGCGTGGAGAACAAACGGCGATCGCACCAAACTGTAAACAAAGATATCAGAAAGAATGAGAAACAACTGCACCAAAGCGCAGGTTCTCTTGCCGTATTATTTGTTGTACTTATCATCACCAACATTACTGTTCGTAGTATCCCGATTCATGTGTGTGTGTAACTGTACGTTAAAATTTCTTTGCTTTCTCATGTATAGCGTGCTTAGTGTCCTGTGTCATATCTATTACATATTATCAGATCTATCATCTTCACAAGTCTTCTGTCTTGTCTGGATATTCCAAAGTTCCTATGTACTTTGATTTGTGCCTGGCGAGTTTTCTATACGTCACAATTATTCCGTAATCTCACAAGTAGCAACATATCGAACTTAAAAATATATTATATGTAGCATGCCTTAGATTTTTTTTTTTTTGGCTTAGTATGAATTTTTGTATGTAAAGAGTCATTTAAATTTATTTATTGAGAATTACCTCGCTTATAATGTCTCATTTTATTTTCTGGCCCCCGAGACCGGGACAGCCTAAGCCTTTGGAAACCGCTGTTCTATGGAAACGAAACGATTCACCAAGACTTTCCATTATTTCAGGATGTTCTTAATCTAGCTTCGCCTTTCTGTTTTTTTTTTTTTGTTTTTTTTTTTTTTGGTTATTGAAAGTTGATTGTTTGAACGCGAGAAGCTCTTCTCACTAGCGGGTTCTGGAAATATAGCGCGGCGTTTCTGTAAGCTCGTTTCAACGCTATAAAAGTCTGTATAATTGAACACCCTACTCTCCGTAAGCCTGGCACATGGAAACTCGGTCAAGGGATTTCACCCAAGGAGCTTAGCAGAGACCGAAATAATTTTTTCTTCAAATTGATAAGTCTACTTCAATAATAGAATTCCGATTTGCATACTATTGAATCTTTACGGCAGGAGTCGTTAAAGAAAAAAAAATTAAGTTGATATCTTCTGTATGAAACTATTATGTGGGTTCCTTCGGCGCTAAGCTTGTTCCAAAGCTCCCTATAATTGATGTCTTTCTATCGCTATGGAAAACTAATCCGCGCGTGCATATATCGGAGGGCGTAAGGTGTACAGAGCAGTGCCCGAAATCTTAGCCCCCAGCGATAAAAAATGGGAATTAATAATCTCAAACGCAGGCTCTTGTGAAGAGAGGAGCTGCGCATAAAACGAGATTTTTGCTTTTTACGGCACTCTTGGCATCGGTGTTGTTCTTGGAGCTTTCGTTGCCATGCATTTCTGACGTTCGTGCACTATGATATGCGCGAAGGTTTCTAAAACACGAAGTTTGGAAAAAGCGCTGAGTCATGGCGTCAGCATAAACAAACATGACAGCCCCATGGAACAGAGCAGACACTGATCTATGGAGCCTTTTGCCGTTTACAAACATGATCTGCCGCTTGCGTCCCAAGTGACTTCCGGTCGCGCCGTCTTTGCAAGCCTGTCGGGCTTGCTTACGTCATCAGAACATCTAAACTCGTCAAACGCAAAGTTGTGGCCGAAGTTGACGGAGCGCACCGATTGGCGTATCACGACGATGTCTTCGCGCTTTTTTTCGCCGACGTCCAGTCGGCGCGCTCCGCGAACTTTCGGCCCCAACTGTGAGTTTGACGAGTGCAGGGCTATAGTGCTATATAAAGCATGGATGCTACACGGAAAACAAGTTTGGAGATTTAACTAGGGCCATTGGATGTACAATTTACTCGTGGAAATGGAGCGTGCTGGTAAAGGTACGGTGTTAGAGGATAATTATATAAATGACGTCATTTATCCGGTTTACCTCTAAAACCGCAATTCAACGTCTTGGAGGAGGTATGTTGGCCTACAGTAATATTTGAAAATTTTTAACATATCTCCCGCTTCTTCGTTTTTTTTTTGGCATTCACCTGGAGAATTGGTGGTTAAACGTTTCATCGGCATTTCAGAGTCAAGGTTTGCTTCGTTCAGTCTTTTGATGAACCAGAAGTTGTCTGGGACTACAGTAATGTTTGGAGGTGGGCTAGTCGGTGATGTATTGTAAGCATAGAAATAAAACAGCGCAAACGAACACAAGGACAAATAGAAGAAGGGACACAGACACAGCGCTGACTCAAGACTTACTTTCTTTCTCATCTTTTTGAAACATATCAACATAAGAAAACAAAAAAAAATGAAAAATAAAAGAAGAATCCAGCATGTAGGACATACTCTCTGTCATATGCCATCTGAGAAATTTTTTTTTATAGTTTTTGTAAAAAATTCTTCAGATGGCATATGACAGAGAGTATGTCCTACATGCTGGATTCTTCCTCTTTTATTTTTCATTTTTTGTTTTCTTATGTTGATATGTTTTAAAAAGATGAGAAAGAAAGTAAGTCTTGAGTCAGCGCTGTGTCTGTGTCCCTTCTTCTACTTGTCCTTGTGTTCGATTGCGCTGTTTTATTTCCATGTTTACATTGTCTGGGACGTCAAAGACTAGAGCACCGCCTGGTGGCGTTTGCCAGGAAAAGAGTCTGTATGGCCGTGTTCCAGAGTTTACTCGATCTTTTCTTCAGGATAAGGGTTTTGTACCTTGGTGCTCTAAAACCTACCCCCGTTCAGCGTTTTAGAGCGCAGCTCTTAGGGGCCCGTTTCCGGCTTGAGCGGCGTCGCCGTCGGCGTCGCCGTCGCCGTCGCCGTCGCCGTCGGCGTCGGCGTAACCGCGCGGTGCATCATGGGAAATGTCCCATAATGCACCGCGCGAGCCCCCCACCAAGATCACGTGACCTCGTGGGGGGTCACGTGACCCCCCGAAGTCACGTGACTCCCCTGAGGTCACGTGGCCCCCTCCTCGAGGTCACGTGACCCCCGCCGATGTCGCGTGACCCCCCGATGACGTCATCGTCACTGATGACGTCACCGGCATCCACATCGTCATCGTCATCATCACTGATGACGTCACCGGCATCCACATCGTCATCGTCATCATCACTGATGACGTCACCGGCATCCACATCGTCATCGTCATCACTGATGACGTCACCGGCATCCGCATCGTCATCGTCATCATCACTGATGACGTCACCGGCATCCACATCGTCATCGTCATCATCACTGATGACGTCACCGGCATCCACATCGTCATCGTCATCATCACTGATGACGTCACCGGCATCCGCATCGTCATCGTCATCATCACTGATGACGTCACCGGCATCCACATCGTCATCGTCATCATCACTGATGACGTCACCAGCATCCACATCGTCATCGTCATCATCACTAATGACGTCACCGGCATCCACATCGTCATCGTCATCATCACTGATGACGTCACCGACATCCGCATTGTCATCGTCATCATCACTGATGACGTCATCAGTGACGTCACTGATGTCGTCACCGGCATCCGCATCGTCATCGTCATCATCACTGATGACGTCATCAGCGACGTCACTGATGACGTCACCGACATTCGCATCGTCATCGTCATCATCACTGGTGAAGTCATCAGTGACGTCACTAATGACGTCATCGGTACCCGCATCGTCATCGTCACTGATGACGTCATCAGTGACGTCAGTGATGACATCATCGGCATTGGGGGTCACGTGACCCCCAAGGTAACGTGACCCCCCCCCCCCCCCTGGTTAGTTTAACCCCCCCCCCCCCAGTGCCCTTCCCTCCTCCTCCTCAAGAGCTGCGCTCTAATTCGGCGTTACAGGGAGTTGTAAGCGGCTTTCATTTTTTTCATTCTGTGTTTTCACGTGATACGACCCGCCAGAGTAACTTGGATCCACTTCTTTTTTTTTTCTATTAGAGTTTGTTTTTTATATAGATTTGAAACTCAATTCTAACCCACTTTCCGATGTAACGTTCATGTTTCCTTGCTTTTTTTTCCCTTCTTTTGCAGGTCACTGGACAAGTCATCATCAACTGGTTGGAGTCATCTCAAGTATACATTGAATCACCGTTTTCATCTGAATAAAAATGATTCCTTTGTTCCAGCTCTTGGAAGAATAGTGACGTACATGTTTTGGGGACCAATGTTCCCAAAGTTCCAGAAGCTTGGAACGCGTCCGTTGTGTTCTGTGCATTTTATGGTACGTCTTACGCATTGTACTGTCCCCGAAATGGCAACCAAATATCTAGTAGCAGCCTTCGAGGGACTTATTTTTTTAACAAGTGTATTGTCAAACAATTAATTTGTTGTTTTCCCGTTTACGTTTTCGGTTTAGATTTCTAGAGGTTGCCACGACTCTGGTGGTGGTTGGTCGTGGAAGTGTTGGCGAAAAAAGCGGACGCAAGCGTCGCTGTCATCGCGGCGTCTTAAACGAGAGCCTAGATCGAAAACAGCGAGTAAAGATCATTCACTCGACTCATCTTGTTGGCGAATCCTGTGTCGCAAAACTAGTTTTCGGAAAAGAGATGCCTTTTGCAAACGCGACTGAAAAAGTGGCGCGCTTCTTGCTTCTGGGGCGAGATTTTGCTGAAACCTCAACGAGGCCTGTCAGTCGCGCGAAGGAGAAACGTGGACGCTGCCAATCGCCGTTCGACATCGCGTCAGACCTTCGAGGTGGATAGGGCTCTTGGAAGAGCCTGATTTTTGGCCGATCCCGTATCTGCGAGCCGAAGTGGCTAAAGCCGAAAGGAGAAAACAAACATGGCGGCGAGAGACAGGCGGAGAATTGGTGCTATTTTCTATTGACTTGATTGGCATCAATGAGCGCGTTTAGCTTGATCGGCCCTGCAATCCTTTGTTTTGTTTATTCTCCCTGTGCATTCCGAGTCGGAAGCGCGCGAAAAAAACTCGGGGATCGGATTCAAAGCGCTGCACCGCGCACCTGCGACTGGATTGTTATTATTCAACCATAAGCGGTGAAGCAAGTCGGCCGAGGTGAAGTCGAGTCGTTAAGCGTTCGATTGCCTGAGGCTCTGCGACGCGGGATCCGGACGTCAGCCGCCGAAAACAGGTGAGCAAAATATTCCTTCTAGCACTTCATCGTTAGAAGTTGGAACCGCATTCCCGCAAGATAAATCGTGATTTGATTGAACTGAAACGCGGTCCGATCCAAAACCTTGCCGCCCGGCAGCTCTCACGCGAATGGTAGATCTGCTCGGCGTACTTTAACCTTGCTCCTGCTTATCGCTTCGAATACGACAACTCCGTTAATCGTAGTCTGCTGATTCGATATTGACTTGCACATTAGGATAAGCTCGAAATTTGTTGCGTCGTTCCTCCGCGCAACTGCACGTCCATCGCTTAACGCAAATCACGTGGTTCGCACATATTATTACTATGTCAGCACGTGTGGGTTGTGCGATAAGCAGTGCCAATTTGCATTTTGAGCAGCTGAAAGCCACCCCAAAAATATCAAGGGCACTATCTTCAGAAACATATGGTACCTGTTTTTTGGTTCTCATTAAGGCTCACAAAGTTTCACGTTTTTGCATTTTGAGCAGCTGAAAGCCACTCCAAAAATATCGAGGACACTATCTTCAGAAACATATGGTACTTGTTTTTTTTATTAGTTTCACGTTTTTTGCATTTTGAGCAGCTGAAAGCTGCTCCAAAAATATCAAGGACACTATCTTCAGAAACATATGATACTTGCTTTTTGATTCTGATTAAGGCTCTCAAAGTTTCACGTTTTTGCGTCAATGACACTGTTATCCCACCTATTTAGGTCCCTAACCACTCATGTTCATCTGTGCTGCTAAGCACGATTGAAATCGCTCCCGTGCTTGTCTAAGACACAAGCTGAAGTGCAATGGAAACTGATCTGAGCTGCTCCTAGCCTGCTCCAGAATGTAGTTTTAGCTGCTCCTAATCTGCTCTAAAAGAGCTGTTTCAGTCAGCTGCTCCCGTGGCTGCTCCCAAGTACATTTCATGAGTTCCACCCCTGCCTTCACATTGAGGTGGAAAGAGCGAACGACCGCGAGGGTCATTCTGGAACGACCTGTGACGTCATGGGTTTCGCGCGCAGAATTTCAAATAAATCTCCCGTCGTCAATATTGCTCTAAAATTATTTTTTGTGTAATATTTATTTCTTGGCACGCGTGTCCCTACCAAATTGTTGTAATTTTTTTTTCATGATTTTTTTTTTTTTTTTTTTAAATGGGTCCGCCACGACTTTTTGACTGCTTTTTAATCTTCACCGAACCTGAGCGCACTGAACGTAGTAATTTAATGAAACTTTTCTTGAATTTTTAGCTTTATTCTAAAAGTAACTAAAATTACAAAAACAAGCAAAAAAGAACCTCCTTCACGACGTCCTTGGTCCTGGCTTGAGTGGCCGTCAGCTAGAGTGGTAGTGAGCTCAGCGAGCGCTCACGGCTGCCGCACTCCGTGTCGACGGCTTGAGAGGGCGCCACGAAAGCATGTTCGGGATAGGCTGGATGAAGTGAGCGGCCAGGGCGGCTCGCATTGCATTTGCTGCGCGACTAAACACTAATTAGGCATGACACTTTATTGGCCACAAACAACGCCAAACACGGGGTAAATATCAGTTCAGAACGGGAGCCACTTCGCTCTGCCCAACCGCCGAACCGCAAGCCTAGCCTGCTCGCCGAAGGCCTTAATTCAGAACGCTCGGAACCGGTCGGATCCTCGAGCTCATATGACCGCAGCGCCGCCGCGTACATCCGGGACCTTACTACGCTCGCCGCTCGTCGGCTCCCGATCCCACTACCCCTTTATAGTATGCGCCGCCTTTTCCACCGCTTGGTGGTGGGTATGTCGACGGGTCATTTCTTGTTTCCGTACTTTATGAACTGCATTTGTTGCTTTTCCGATCTAAAATACTGAACAAAATCTACTTTTATGAATAATTGAAAACGTTCGCGCCACTTATATTTTGTGTTTTTACTAAAAAACATGCTTTTAGCGGCTCTGACTAATAGTAAGGCTAGGACCAAAAACGTCAGGATGTCACATATCGCGCGCTTTCGGCACCGCGAGTCGCCCCCGTAGGTGGAGGAGGTTTCCGCGTCGCCCGGTTAAAATATGACGCACTGATATTTAGTTACTCTCTCCGTGCCCGCTGGCTTGCCCGAACCCCAAGAGATGTGGAAACCGCAAAAATGGTAGATGCTTAAATATGATTGCAGAACTCCTTCAAAAAATAAACAAAATACACTCTAAAAAAAAAAAAGGTATCACCTTGCACCTTTTTGTCCCATATAGTGCACCCCAAAACTTCAATTCGACGTACAGCGCTGAGCGCACTATAGTCGAGCAGTCGGTCCCATCTTTTACGAGAGGCTTGATAACGGTGTGATATAACTTATAAATCAGCTAAAGTACGTATCAAAGACCGCAGAAAGAAAACACTAAGGTTTGGCAGTAGGGCCAAGAAAACCCTGATTATTCTTTTTTTTTTTTTGTATTCAGTAACACGTGCATTAGCTATTTTAATAAGTTGTACCACACGGCTATCAAGCCTCTCGTGAAAGTTAGTACCGACAGATCGACGTCAGTGCGCTGTACGTCCAACTGAAGTTTTGGGGTGTCTTTCTTTTTTTTTTTTCTTTTTAGAGTGTATAGTAGCTGCAGCGCGAGCTTCCGCTGAGCAGTCTGCCGTATTCATCTTCGCTGCTGGGCCACCGCTAGGATCGCTACGATCCGCAGCGTTACTCAGTTGTGACGTCACCAGAGAGAAATCGAGGGGACAAAGTGAAGATGCGGTAAACACACCAGTCGCGAAAACACTTCAGGGGTCCGACTGTGGTCAAGGCGAGAGCGAGAGCTTTCTGGGCTGCTGATTGAACGTGGCGCCGCAGCTTGCGTTTAATCAGTCGATGTCACATGTGGCGGGAGAGCAAGTCGAGATTCGCAAACGAAGCGAAAGTTGTCAACGGCTTCCAATTATAGATTCCGCGAACATTTTCGAACTTAAGGCTCGAAGGTCGAGCCAGGGGGTTCGAAAGGTGCGAGAAGTTTCGCTTTGTCGAACTTTTGCGTTTATAAATTGTATCATTTCGAACTTTTTATGCTCGAATATTTCCAACTTAGAACATTAACAAATTCGCGATTTACGAACTTTCGACCTTAATAAATTTAAAAAGTCGTCGATTTTCGAACTTCCGAGCTTGTTTCTTGAAAAGTCAAAAAAGTATCATACTTCCGAACCTGCGATCTTGATAAGTTTGACGAATTGCGAATCTCATCAGCACTAAAAAGATTGCGCCGAAGCTTTCATTCCTTGTTCCTAGGCGGAGCAACCGCACGAGTTCTTGCCTACCTTGCCTGTTGGCGAGCCCCGACTGGCGATTGCCCCGACTTCGTTGCTGCGCGTCGCAGCGTGCTTCGAGTTTAGTTTTACTTCGCGACACTTTTTTTACCTTTTCGGCGCAGATCCAACGATCAAGCGTGGAGCGGGCTGACATACGCGCAGTCATTATGATCCCATTAAAGGAACCAGGAAGCAGACTCTCAACATATTGAATCATTCCTCTACAGAGTTGTCTTGGGTGACTGAAGTGATGTGTGGTGATTGTACCTCGGTCCTTAGAAGAGATATCTGCAGTGACTGTACTGTTTATTTTTGTGCGTATTTCTTATCATTCATCAAGAAAGCTGCCTTCAGAAAGTGAAGATCTCACAACCTAATGGCACGTTTTACCTGTAATGGTTTTAAATCATATTAAAAATATTTTTCAGAATTTTGAAAAACACAATTGCACGAAGTTTATAAATGCTTATAAATAATTTTATTTTGCAGTTCCACATACCCAAGAATGTGAACTCTGTAAGAGCTCTCACAAATACAGTGCACATGCATGCAAACAAATGTGACCATGAAGGAGGAGAATATTGTGGGGTAAAAATTGAGAGATGTGTACAATTCTCTGTAATGAAGGAGGAGGAGGGAAGAATCACGTGTGACGTCACGAATGTGAAATTTTCCCGCTGAATTTGGCGTTAATTTTTCCGCTAAATTTAGCCAGAAATCTTTGAGATCAATTTTTCCGGATTGAGTAGCGTCACGTGTGACGTCACGAGGGTAAAATGTTC